TTGCTCCCAGCGCCAGTCGGCATCCTTCTTCAGGAGATCCGACAAGGGTTTTGCGAGACCCGCGTACCCTGCGCTGTACTTGTGGAGGTAGTTGGCCAAACCCAACCACTTCCTGAGATCCTTCTGAGATCTGGGTGTCGGCCACGTTGCAATGGCCTTCACCTTGTCGGGGTCAGCTCGAACCCCGACGTTGCTGACGAAGCAACCGAGAACTTCCACTTTATTTTCTTCGAGATATGTTTTGACGAGGTTTGAGCGATGCCAAGGAGCTCCGTCGTTCACAAACGTTGAGTCCTTACCGATTCCCATGACTGAAACAGTAGCGTGTAGATTCTTTTCGAGAATCGACTTGTAGTAGGTGCCAGTCACACTTGATTCACACAGGTGGAGGGCTCCGACATGATACACCCCCGAACCATTAGCGTTTCCCTTGAATGTGGGCACTAAACATTCGTTCTTAAACTCTTCTCCAGGCTTTCGCCACACGTAAACCCGCCCAGAAGCCCCGTAAGCAAAATAGATGACTCATCGCTGAAGACGACTTTCCTCCAGTCCTTTTCCTTGTACTTCAACATGGTATTCGCGTACGCAAGGCGTGCCTTCACATTTTTGTTTTTTGAAAGATTGGGTTTCTTACGCGCGGCTCGCCCGTTAAATCCCTCCGGCTTGATACGATTGCGCACAGTTTGGCTAGAAATTGTTACGCCGTGGTCTTCTTTCACCATAGTTGCAATTTTCTCGGCACTAAGCCGTCGGTTTCTCTTTGCTTCTTGAACGATCTGGCGGTCTTCGCGAACGCTAGTCTTGCGAGGACGACCGGCTCGCAGCTTGGAATGGGTATGGCCGCTCCGCTTGGCGTTCGCAACGATTGTTTTAACGCTAGAAACGTGAATTTAGAGCTTGTCGGCTATCTTTTGGTACGTTACCCCTTCCAGGCGCTTGTCAACGCGCAGATCGCGTATTTCACGCGAGTGTTCTGTCCTAAGGAGGGGAAGATGACTGTCAGACACTACCCTGTACTCGTACCACCATTAGAGGGACGTACCTGGTCTTCCCCATGCCGAGAACCGAGGGCAATTGTGCTGGACGTAGTTTTGTTTTGGGACTAATTTTGGGTGAGGTCATATTTTTCTACATTAGTTCGTCCCAAATTATCATTTTGAGAAACTGATTGCAGACCCTGAATCGTTCAAACAAGAACTTTCTTCCTATACCAATCGTTGATTGGTTAATGTTGAAGATCATCAGAAATTTAAGGATTTTTGTATGAGATCGGCTTGGACGCAGACGTTTTGTAGCAACTACCTTCCTAAACATGTTTACAATCCGGAAGGTCACTCGATGCGTAGCTCGCCAATTTACAAGGCCCAAGCACCGTTTCTCAAGGTCCTGAAGAGAACAGACCACGATATCCCAGCTGTTTCATCAACTCATCAAGTAGTCTAGACAGGTTCCAGCACTGTTGGCTAGTGATGACAGCCTTACTTGTCAA